ATGGGAGGATGCTGTGCGAGCGACACGCGAGACGCGCGGACGACGTGGATGATTACGCGGTGATAAAATCTATGAGGCGGGTAACGAGGTTTATTGACCTGGCTGGTGCGTCTGAACTTGGACTGAGATGAACATTTTTACACATTGCATCTTAATTTATTTCTCCTCTATCATACTCTCTGGGGCTACAACGGACCATATATCTCTTCACGTTTTTCGCATACCATCATTTCATTTCATTGGATCTAACTGTAGTTCACCAATCCTAGCATCTTAATTCTACATTCGTTCGTTTTTCACTCTCTTGGGACTTTTATCTACATGTTTTGATTTTGATTTGTTATGCTTCTTATGTACTATATCTATCCTGTAAATACCTAATTTTCTTTGACCGACGCCATTTTTTCGTGACTCAGAGCCGTCGGACCGATTCTTGTTCGCCATCACTATTATTACACCACTAAGTAGCGCTCGTTCGTCTTATGCGACGAACTCGGCCGGCAACGATGCAAGGAAAGGTTTAATTGGAGCGGAGACAAGTGAGTCAGTAAGATGTTTGTTGAGTAAAGGTCTATTGAAGGCTTAACTCGTTAGCGAAGTCTCTGGTCTGACATAGGTTCAAGGGTGAGATCATACTGGTAGATAATTGGCTAAGCATGTCAGTACTGCATAATTCCGGGTCAATTCTTTACATCCTCAGGTCACAGCATGCAAAACCTTGTTCGTGATATCCTCCAGGACTCGCCGTTCCAGACTTCTGGTCCCACCACTACCCCACGATGCTTTGTTGGTGTCACGTCCGCTCAGCGGCAGCACACCACTGGTCCCCTTCGAACCCTTCCCTTTCTTCCGCTTTGTCTGGCGCCCGCCATTATTTTCTTCGGTCCCTGAAGCATCTCGGGCACGCTTCTTGCCCTTGGTCCTCTTCTTCTTAGCACAAGAATGTGGCTTTACTCCATTTGTCGGCCCTAGATCGCTGCTTTGGTGGTGAAGCTCCATGACATTGCGATCTGTGAAGACTGATGTCCAATCAGGACGAACATTAGCAATGTCTGCGGCTGGACATCGCAGTAAAGACTCAGAGGTGGCAATGGTGGGTGTGGCAGCAGTAGAATCAGATAGATGTTCAAGTACAGAAGACAGTGTCGAAGGTATAAGTACATGAGTGGTGCCGGATGGGAGTTGTACATCAGATTGCGAAAGCGAGAAATTCAGGAGCGAGGGTCCATCCTGAATTCCAGTTGATCATGTTAGTATGTCATGAATAGAAGATATATACACCGCTCGCCTGGCAGGTAGGCCCCTCATCGTCATCATCTTCCAGGATGCAAGGCCGGTATGCTGCCAACTTCATTGGAAGTGGCTCAAAATATGGATCATCAGGAAGCTCATGGAGCATGAAGGTTTGCCCGCTGCTAGCACAGAGTTCAGGGTGAGATAGAAATGTTCCTGGGAGAAGAAAAAGCGGTCAGAATGTGTGCCAATTTTATTGAAAGACAGTGCATTTACCATATTCTTGCAGATGAGCGGATGAAAGCTTCAATTTAATTTCATCATGGAAGATTAATTGCTCAGACATTGTATTGGGATAGATAGTGTGTGCACAAGAAGGAGCGGCCTCAGCTAGTGGTGGTCAAAACGATAAACGCGATAAGCCAACGCGATCAACGTACCGTGATCGAATCCCCCGTGATCGGGCATCGTGATCGACGCGTTCGAAGTTCATTACCATGTGATCAAATTCCATCAATGAGCATGTCACCAACGACTCTCTGCTAGCCTTAGTCTAGTACTATACATCCAGCGTTTTATTCGTCTATATGGGACCGCTGCTATCATATCCGGTCTACTTAACTTCACTGTGGTATTATGTACTAGTCAAAGCAGCAGAAAGGCGAACGCCTTCCATTCCATCTGAACATTCTTCTCCTCCTCCGACTGTCACTCTCAAACAATCATATACGACAGCAAAGCAGACTCAGGAGTCTTCCATCTTTAAATTTCTCCGATACTCAAGAGCGCCCAGCCTCTTTTTCGTGACGAGTATCATTGCAGGGACAGATCTAACATCTATATTACACATTATTTCGACCAGAATTCCCCTGCGCTTGTTGAACAAGATCCGAACTAGTACATAGACAATCTCAAGTGTGCGTACATTCTCTCGGAAGGCCTCAATTCTGATTTAGGAGAAGATGATCAAAGTCGCATCCGATAAAATACTGGTCTATATAAAATGCCTATAGCTCCCCACTTTATTAGTCTGATTCAGAAATCTTCCTCTACCTAGCCCTGTTTATCTAGCCATTAGTGCTGCTTGTTGTCGCATCGTCTGTACGTCGGGCGTTGCCAATTATGTTGAAGATCTTTTTCGGGAGAAAGAGGACTTGCGCGAACGGATTGAGAGAATGAGTATTCTCGCTGAAGATGGGTCCTTGATGGAGCTCTTTGATAGGTATATGACTGCTGTCATTCGAGTATAATGACACGTGTATTGTCGTACATCTGCATACTAGCTCGTTAGAAAGTTACGCTTGGCTTAAAATCTCTTCAACTCAACATTGAAGACTCTAGTTTGCTGAAGAGTTCCGCCCTAGTCCGCGGGGCCGTTGTTAGTCAACCTCCTCAAGCTATAGTACCAGATGAGAAGGTAGGGCAACCCGAAATGGAATTGAGGGGAGCCTAGTAGAATCTTGGACCTTCTCTACGAACGAGAATAAGATTTCACCCTTTCTGCAATGACCTCGACATTGTCCAATACATCGATTTGCAAATTCCGTAGGTAGCTTGTAGTACTGGTTCCATCAACAGCGACGTCGCAGTAGGGTCTAGATTCGGTGACCTTATAAGAATCGGCGTCGAAAGTCTTATGCCACAGATTGGGAAGTGCCTAATTCATGACGTTCAATTTAGGATCCTACCCATTGTGTCGCGTTTCTATGGAGTACAACCGTTAGACGCAGCTTATGCAAGGGAGTAGGACAAACCTATCAGCGACGTTCCAAAGAAATGCAATGACGTCCTTTAGTTCCGGGATTCTCCACTAGCTTGATGAAAGTAGCATCAAATTCTGGCTGTACTAAAAGTTCCCTTCCTCGTAGAGACGCAGTCATCTGGAATGGTTTTGACAAAGACAACGCGCACAACAGCACTAAGTTCTACAGTCCTCAAATATTTGAATGGGTTGGAAAAATCCAGATGCTTGAGGAATGCCCGGGTGAACAGACCTGTTCCGTCATCGATTCTACGATCATCGGTGAGCTCAGAAGACCAGTAACGAGCAGGCGAAGCGAGCAGACATGCTCAACGACATTGAACAGAAGTGAAGCTTCCGCTATCTTCCTTATTGCGGCTAATGTATTACAATGGACACACTGCGAACCCAGGAGTCGGGGAAACCGCGTCATTTTTATCAAACGTAGCGCTCACCCGTTCGTTTGTCCCGGAGCCAAAACTACCCTGGGCAACACTGCTACCGATAGCCATGCCTCTTGGGCAGCGCGCTGCTGTGCAAGACAGGCAGAGCATCTGAGAATGGCATCATAGTGGTAAGCAGTGGGAAGGAAGAGCAAAAAGTGATGGAGAAGAACCGCGAGTACGCAACATTGCATGGTTCATGATGACGCCTCGTTGCCCGCCATAGTACACAGTGGAACACTTCGATAAAGACGACTGCGAGAGTTTAGAGGAAGTTGAAGTGGATTTCAAAGACAAATAGTCGGCGAAAATTTATGACATTCTAGGGGCCATATTGAACGAGGTGAGAGAAATGTGGGGCGACTGCTTGGTAAAACTCGGATCCAGTGGTTCCGAGACGTTTTCAGAATCCTAGTCATTTCTCTTTCTACAGCGCAGGAAAGTCCGAGGAATATTTAGTTCGAGCCTCAATTGAACTTGTGTTTACATCTTGGGGGTGCTTCTCGCACCGACACGGCTCTCCATTGCAATGATTTGGTCGGCACGAGTGCTTGGATTGACATATTTATACACTGCATTGAAGGTGATAAGCTATAGGGACAACTTTGAACGCATAAGTAGGAACAAACCTTGACATAAATCACCGCCTCGGTAGAAACGCCGCCCTAACTAATCCTCTCACCCTCCACTCCCAGGCAACCAGATTCACCCTGCGCGTCACCTCGATGCGTATCGAATCTTTGGAGTGTAGTATGCAGTGAAGGTACGCAAATACGAGCGCGTCGAGTGGTGTTGGGGCCCTACCGAGTGTCAGTACTATAGAAGAAACAAGCAAAGAGAACACACTCCGATGACAAGAACCACTTGTCGGTGCCCAGTCTTTCTGAGAGCGCCCCAATGGCTTCACGGTAGCGTGACTGTATAGCTTCGCGGGGGATGCGCGCGCCAAAGGGCGGGAAGAGGGAAGTGAGGCCCGACAGTGGGGCCGGGGGCGGCGCGAGAATGGACTCGATTGGGCGGGTTTTGGTTTCCGCTAGGGAGAACGGCGTCGGCGTCGGCTGGACGAGGAGCAGAGCAGCATGCACGCAGCCTTCCAACAGCGCCACCCACGCCCGGCTCTCGTCACGCGCCGCCTCGTCTTTGTAGCCTTCCAGCCCACCGTCATCGCCAATGTCGACCTTGCTGTCCACCCAAACAGGCAACTCCCTCGCCGCCAACAACTGCGCTCCGTCCCATAAATTGGGAAGCTGCCCGTCGATAGAGCCCTGAGGGTCAACGTCGGTACGCACGGCAATGTGGTCAAGGCCGCGCAGGGCAAGGTAGGCTTGCCATTTGAGGCACTCGACGTCGGAGCTGAGAACGCCGTCGGGTGAGTGTGGAGGATGGATCCATAGACAGGGAGTTGGGTATGTCTTGAATTGGGACGGAGGAGGGATTGGAGGATAAGTGTAGAGAGGGAACGGAGAGAGCAGCTTTTGGATGATGGGTGGGACTTGCATAGCGATAGGTGAAGCGAAATTTGGCTTCAATTTTGATCGCCGATTGCGGCGCTCGAGATACACTATTTCAAGCTTTTAAAAAATGGGGGCATAGCTCAGCTGGGAGAGCAACAGACTGAAGTGAGTTTTGTAGCAATGGTCTTCTGGAGGTCCCCAGTTCAATCCTGGGTGTCCCCATAATTTTTGTTTTTCTGCACAGCACTGAGCTAAGTGAGCTTGACTCTTGAGCACTGAGCACTCCGGCGACCCGTCGCTTAATGGACGGGCTCTGATGTTAATAATGGAAAGACCCCCTTCAGAATTTCCAGAGAGCTTATGGCTGCCATGTACGGTGAAAAATGCTAGTGAATAATTGAATTGACGAGCTTTCGACGCAGGCGGAGCCGCATACTTAACAGGTAATCCCGCTTCAGGCGGGATTACTTAATTCCTTACCTAATGCCACTAGCTGGCTTACTATACGTCATCTTTCAACAGCCATACATCTTCTCTTCCTTCCCTCTTCTCTCTTTTCCTACTCTTTCTACTTTTCACGATGTCAGAAGAAATCCAGATAAACGTAAAAGGTCTCTCATATACTCTCTCTGCTCCATGTTAATGGCGCTGATTCGCATTACGTCCTAGGACCGGGCGAAATCAAGCTCCAGATAACGATCGCGACAGATAAAACGGTTCTCGAGCTGAAGCAAGCAGTCGCCGAGAAATCTGACGTAGAGGCAGAGCGGCAGAGGCTCATTTATTCTGGTATTTCCCTCGAATTTTTCTCATTTTAGTGCTGACAAAATGGGTACTAGGACGTGTCTTGAAGGTGGTGTCAAGGCTCTTCTGTCATAAACTATCCGTGCTGACTGTCTCCAGGACGAAGACGTTCTTTCCACGTACAAAATCAGCTCTGGGCATACGATTCACATGGTGAAAGGAGTGGCGCGGGGGAATGCGTCTTCGTCAGCGGCGGCACCACAGCCCCTTCCCACCATGCAAACGGGACAGAACCCTCACGATCCGCTTACGCTGCTCAACAGTCACCTTGGGTACGGTGCCATGGCGGGCATCAATCCCTTCGCTGACATGGGCCTAAACCAGAACGACCCCAATATGGTGTGTAGCTGTATTTTGTTTCCGACAGCAATTAATGATTTGCACAGCTCCAAACGATGATGAACTCACCCGAATTCCTGCAACAAATGGCCGGGATGATGGCAAACCCTGCCGTTCTTGACCAAATCATCGCTTCTAATCCACAGTTGCAAGGTATGGCACCGCAGGCCAGAGAGATGTTTCAGAGTGAAGGATTCCGCCAGATGATGTGTGTTCATCGATCTTTTTGCTTTCTATTGCCCTGCTGACTTTTAATGTATAGTTCGGACCCACAACGGCTTCAACAAATGATGCAGATGGCGTCGATGCTTCAGGGTGGTGGAGCGGGCGGATTGGGCGGAATGGGCGGATTTGGAATGGGTGGAGGTGCAAGTAGTTTCCCTGCTCCAGGCGTGCCAGGTGGCGCCGCACCCGCCACTGGAGCAGCAGCAGCCGCCACGGGAGGTGAAGCAGCAGCAGCACCTGGAACGGGGACGACGCCGCTACCGACAAATTTGTTCAATCCCTATGGTGGTATGTCGACTCCGAATGCACGCCCTCCGTTTGCACTCGATCCTGCGTTGACGCGGCAGCTCCTCCTAGGAGGCGGGCTACCCAGCGGACTTGGCGGTGGACTTGGTGGCGGCGGACTAGGCGGATTTGGCGCTGCACCTACAGCCCCGGCGGACACGAGATCGCCTGAAGAGTGGTTCCAGGTTCAACTGCAGGTATGTGTCCTTTTATTTGTCTTCGTTCGCTTCTAAAGCATGCAATAGCAACTGCAAGATATGGGTTTCACAAATGCATCGCAGAATGTTCGAGCCCTGTTGGCCACAGGCGGTAACGTGCACTCGGCGATTGAGTATATTCTTGGTGGTGGTGGGATATGAATGTAGAACGCGGACGTTTTTGTAACCTTTTTCAGCGCTGATTGTTGCATGTATTCATGTTTTCTTTAATGTACCACCGGGCTCATAGTCAATTTACTGATGTAGAATATGAGACTATCCGCTGATCTTTTCTAAGAGCTACATCTACGCAGCAGAATTTTTTCTCAACACGGGATCTTCTAGCAATCTTCCCATGGCTTTCTCTTCTAAATGCAGTTGCAAATCAACTCCCGCGTCGTACCAGCGACCATGTTCACCGCTTGTATTCTGCACTTCCATAACCTGCAGTAATCCATCCAATTTAGGCATCACCGCCTCGACGTACCGTGGACTCAGACCCCCAAACCCGACCTCATAGACCCCAGTATGCACCCACGACGTGACCAAAACATGCCGGCGCCCCAGAAATGCCTGCCACAACCTCTGTGGCGCCACTTCAAACTTCTTTTCGTGTAAATGAGCCTTCAACGCATCAATGGTAAACTGCGACAACGTGTCGCGAATGCCTTGTGCTGTAGGCGTACGCACATCCGCAAGCATGATAGGCGACCCGATAAACCTGTCCGGGAGCTTTAACCGTGGCCGTAACCCAAATGTGAGATCCATGTGGACTTCATCTCCTTCCACAAGGCCACGAGCACGATTAATACACCCCCACACATGCGCCAGAATGGCCTCCATCCGTGTCCCACCTTCCATTTGTTTGACTTCGTCCCGGGTGAAGTGAAGAACGTAGTGGGAGACGGGCGCCGAGATGTCCCATTCGCTCCAAGGCATTCGAGTTCCTCCCACGTCGGCAGGAGGATCGAATCCAGGGGGGATGACAGTTGCTTGGGATGCAAATGGGAAATCTGAACCGGAGATCCACCAGTCGTAACGGTTGCAAGGTAATTTGCGCGCTTCCCTGACGAGGGCCTCGTCAACTTCTGGACCTGGCGCATAAGCGTCGAGGAGCTGGGGGTCGAAAAACTGAGTTTGGAACAACGTGTTCGATGCGACCCCAGTCCCTAGCGAAATGGGCTAATGTGTGTGCATCGGAAAGAGGATGCGCCAGGCGAATGCCGATGGCGATTCCTCCGCATGCGAACGTTGTGATTTGTATCAGCATGGCTGGACCCTCGGGATCAACGGGGGTTGACGGGAGGAACTTGGCTGCAGGTAAACCAGATGCATCCCATGCTTTGGGTCGCGGCGAAGGGATAAGGTCTGCGAGTCGTGCATTGGTTCGCGCATCGACGAAGAGAACCCCCGGATCCGTAGCGGAACCAAACGTTAGAGCGAGCCGGTCGATCGTATTCGGAAGACGATGAAGACGACCGCACCATTGTGGATAAAAGTCGAGGGTCTTTCTGAGAGTGGATTTAAGGTCTTCGGTGCTGGGGAGCGAAGGGGAGGTATCGTAGAACCATACGGCTTCACAGGGACTGAAATTGCCTACTGTCGAATCGATGATGGAGAGGGGAACGGTGCGTTCTCCGGACGAAACGCTGCGAGGGAACTCCCGACTGGTAGAATCATTGAAAATATCCACAAGCACGGCCATGGAGATGGGAAATTTAATACTGTGATGTAAGTTAGTTCATGACCGTCCAGTATATATACACTACCTGAGTCAGAACCGTTCCTGGGCCTTCGGGTCCGCCTTGAACGCAACGATAATAACAGTGCTTCGAACGCTGGATGCCGAAAAAATGGAGTTCAGAATAACTCGATGAGCTTGAACGCCCGACGCCAGCGCTTTAACCTATGCACTGGTGAACAGCAAGGACGATAATGACGGAACCGAGATATGGTATATCATCTTATGCAAACGATTGCGAAAGAATCGTCGCAGAGTTCGAGTCTCCCACTGTGAAGTCTAGACATAATGTTGGAGAAGGACTCCACTTGGCCGTCAATTGGCCGTTGCTTGGCCCCGTCTCCACTTTTGGATGACTAAGTATAGCCGGCAAGCGGCAAGGCCCGCTACCTCAATGACGTCACACGACAGTTTCATCCCGACTGAAGTGGAAAGGAGTCGTTTTTCTTCTCTCACTCTGACGATGTCGCGCCCCTTGTTCGTGTATCTAGAACCACGCCCAATACACGCCCAATTCGGGCATTGTAACTACATCACCCTCGACATGTCCTTTGAGCACGGCCCCTACATCCCCAACTACTCCGCCCTCCCGCCCTCCGCAACAGACATCTACTCCCTCCGTTCCCCCGCCCTCTACAACGCCCTCCAAGAATTCTACAAGTCACCCATCGCAAAATCTCCTCCACCCAGCGACTTGCAGAACACCTGGCACTTTACCGCTGTACGCTACCGAGACACATCCGCTGTTGTCGCCATCCACGGTCTCTGCATGCAACACAAATTCGAGGGGCATCTTCTCATGCTTAGTCTCGGGACCCTACCCAAGGACAAGGACTGGCAGGACGAGCTGAGTCGTATCAGGTCCCAGGGTGATGTTGATATATCTGCTGATAGAAAGGCTGTCGCGATCCTTGTCTGGTCTTTCCTGATTGACAGAACTCAAGCCCAAATAGGTTAGTTGCACATCTTTTTTACGACTCTTACTAATTCCTCCTCAGCCCGATGGAGGATGTATAGTGACCAGTGGCGACAAGTCACTGAAGCGAGTGAGTGATGCTGCTTTCATTTTGACCAATCCTTATCGTTGCTCTAGACCTGTTTGTCCGCACCTTAAACCGTTGGTTGGGCCCTCCGTCATCCCCATCGCTCTCAACGTTGTTATCTAGTTCAACCAATATCCGTTTTAGCAAGTGTGAAATCCAAATAGAACCAGACGACTACATGTGGGGTATGGTTCATGGTGATAATTGCAGTAAGCTACGCCAGTGCAAATCTAACTGTCCCTATTCCAAGGCCATGCAAGTGCTGCGACATTCACCTCACAGCAAAGGCGCCGCGTTGAGGAGCGCTCTAAGACCGTGTCAAATCGTTCACTCATTTTCGTATGCACATTTCAGAATATCACACAATTGGTACATGTTCCGGTACTTGATTTATGATTTACAGATTCCTGTCGTTTTTGTACCATATAAATCAAAAGTCTGTTGTACAATCAAATTGGAAACAGAATTGAATGTTGTCTTGCAGGAAAGGCTTGTGAGTCATTCACCATTTCTCGAGCAGCGTCGTTGTTTGGTCGTCAAGTTGGGCGAGGTTCGATAGACTCATTGCCACGTTTTGTCTATTGAGCT